TCAGCATAAGGCAGCATGACCTCTTCAAGTATTCTGATGTATTCAAACTGATCCATGATCCCTGGTATGCGATAAATAGGCCCAACACTGTAGTATGAGAACCATCCCCATATCTTGATGCTTGCACCACCATGCTTCACTGTCTTCACAGTGTACTGTGGCTTGAATTCAGTGTTTGGGGGTCGTCTGACAAACTGTCTCCGCCCACTAGACCCAAAAAGAACAATCTTACTTTCATCAGTCCACAAAATGTTGCGCCATTTCTCTTTAGGCCAGTCAATGTGCTCTTTGGCAAATTGTTACCTCTTCAGCACATGTCTTTTTTTCAACAGTGGGACTTTGCAGGGGCTTCTTGCAGATAGCTTGGCTTCACATAGGCGTCTTCTAATTGTAACAGTCCTCACAGGGAACGTCACACCTTCTTTCATCTTCCTGGAGCTGATTGTTGGCTGAGTCCGCGCCATTTTGGCTATTCTTCTATCCATTCCAATGGTAGTTTTTCTCTTTCTTCCACGTCTTTCAGGCTTTGGTTGCCATTTTAAAGCATTTGCTATCATTTTAGCTGAGCAGCCTATCATTTTCTGCACTTCTTTATATGTTTTCCCCTCTCCAATCAACTTTTTGATCAAGGTATGCTATTCCTCTGAACAATGTCTGGAACGATCCATTTTCCTCAGAATTTCAGAGAGAAATGCACTGTAACCAGCATGTACAACATTTGCTGCCTTCCTTCCTTACATAAGGGCAATAATTACCACCTGTTTTTCAAAGAATGAATGACCTCACTAATAGAACTCCACACTGCTATTATTTTGAACATGCCCCTTTCAATGAGTGATTCAATGACACAGAATCAGCAGCATGCATGTCATCACTGTTGGGTCTGTTGGATTTCTATTACTCTACTACACCTGCTAGTAAATTATTTGCCATGTAGAAATATCATTTCTACCAAAAACAGTGATTTATCAGGTTAGTGATGTCTGACTGCTATTATTTTGAACACAACTGTATATCTTTGAGGTGCATTTACACAAATATCCCAAGTTATTTTTAAATTAAAAAACACCTGAGGCTACAATGTTCACCTTCATTCCAGAGCTGTCCTCTGCTTTTTTTCTGCCAGAAGACGTGCTCAGCCTTGAGGAAATACTGTCAGTACAGAGATGATACCCATGACAGGCCCACCCTCGGAGAGGGCAAAGAGAGGCACTGATGTCATCATGTCATTTCTGCTTTCTGTGATATCCAGGACCACCCACTGCCAGGAGAAGACCAGGGGGAAAAGGAACAGAAAAAATGTAAGTATAAAATGTTTTAAAAAGTATGATACCCTGCAGGCAGGGGCTCATGAGTGGGGTGGGGAGGATATTGTCTATGGTTGGGCTTTTATCCTAACCATTAAACTTAAAGTGGAAGTCCTGCATAACCATAACTGTTTTAAAACATGCCCCTTCCCCCCTTTTTCTACCTATCCTGTCTACCTTATGTATAAAGATCTGTATACTTATCTGTTTTAAGCCAGTTTTGGTCTGGTTACATGATCCCCCAACTCTGGCTCCCCTGTGTTAATGAGCAGCTGGCTGCAGGGGAGAGGATGGAGTGCTGACAACGGAAGGGCTATGAAAGCCTATGGGTGATGTCACTGCTCCTGGATTTCCTAGCTGTTGTCTGGCACCCACTACTCTCCACAGGTGGTCGACCAGAGTATACACATCTTTTTTTTACATATGGTAGACAGGATAGGTAGCAGGAGGCGGGAGGGGACATTTCAAGAATAGTTATGGTTAGGCAAGAATTCCATTTTAACCTCTAACCCTAATCTAAACCTTAACCTATTCCCCGAACGCTAATTTAAGCTCTAAAAGCTCTCTGGAATTGTTGGCTTCCATGCCGCGATCCACCATCAATGGCATCTTGAGCCCAAGAATGGCAAGGTCCACATACTACCATTTCACAAGAATTCTGCAAGCAACCAGTACATCTGAAGACAGGAAAAGAGAAATAACTAATGAATGATTCTCCCCAAAGAACTTCTTAATGAGCCCAATGTAGCATGAAGTATTTATTTTCCAGTCTGGTAACTCTAATAAGACGCATTATGCGTCACGGTATTAAATGGTTTGAGGAAACGGCTGGTCATTTTAGAGCTAATTATAATGTAAAAAAAGAAGAAAAAAAAATGTTCCACTAACAAAAAAAAGGATTCAGTTACCGGAATGGCAGCAATTATTTTCGTCATTCGCCTCAATTTCAAAACCTATTCTGAGCCTGATCTATTCTAACTGACTGGATGCCTATATGTTGAATGAAGCTAGAGAACTACAACCAAGTTGACATAAAACCAATGACTTGTGGGGTGGCAGTGGGTAGTCCTTACTAGTGCACTGAATAGAGTTCCCCAAACGAATTGGGAGCAGCAACCGGTGCAGTAATACAATGAACACTAAATGTAGTAGCTGATTCTATCAGTTTTCGGGGACAGAACTCCGGTTTCCTTTCCCAGTTGGTGGCACCATTTAGTAATTCTTGATGTAATAAGATGGGTATGGTGGGAGGGTTCCTTTTCTTCCCAGGTTGATTCTGGCCTGTTTTACCTGGCTTGTTCCCGGTTGAAGGCAGAACTCTCTTTAAGTACTAATGCCTTCCTGTAGGGATGGAGCTGTATTGTTTGAACAGGGACTGGGTTGAGGAAGGCCCTCGATGCTTGTGTTCCTGGAATGACAGTAGGAGGGGGGAAATAAAAATTTACTGGGATGTAACTGCATTTTTAGAATTGCACCTTAGCTACAGCACCTTTGCAAACTTTTTTTCCACACCTGTCTCAGCAGGTCTCATGAAGAATAGGGTCTACCTCTACCTGGACCAGGGGCGGACTGACTATTTGGAAACTCGGGCACTGCCCGAGGGCCCGGGGTCAGTAGGGGACCCCATGAGAAGCCCCTGGAACCTTTTTCATAAGCTTTTTTGAGTTTCGGCAAGGACACAGGGGCCCCATGATCCCCTATTGCCCGGGGGCCCCATGAGTTGTTAGTCCGCCCTGACCTGGACCACCTAGTACAATGAACTCAGGCTGCTGTGAGTGGGCTCATGACAGCCTGTGCTCAGAGGAAATGGGTTGATGGCAGGGGCGGACTGACAACTCATGGGGCCTCCGGGCAATAGGGGATCATGGGGCCCCAGTGTCCTTGCCCAAACTCAAAAAAACCTATGAAAAAAGTACCAGGGGCATCTCATGGGGCCCCCTACTGGCCCCGGGCCCTCGGGCAGTGCCCGAGTTTCCAAATGGTCAGTCCGCCCCTGCTTGATGGTTATTCAGGATGAAAATCTAGTGGAATAAGGGTAGTAGTTAGTCATAGTCAACTCAATTTGTTCTGTAACATTGAAGATATTTCATTTGTTATCCAAGCCACTTATTTTCCATTGAGTGTCAAGAACCTACCCCAGCATTTATATCTACACAGGTAGTACAGACACCTGAATACAATCACAATGGGATGTGTAAAGGCAGATTTAAAGTGTTAAAAACAGGATAGGAGTTGTGAAAGTTGTCTAACAGGAGGTGTGAAAGTTGAAAGTCTAAAAATAATGTGACTTTTGCTTACAGTTGGTCAATGAGGTCACAAAGCATCCCACCTGATGTCATTCATCAAACATGGTGATGTTCATTTTTGGTAAACTACATCACATGAGAGACCCCACACATTTGTTTATATTCAGTAGTGGAGATCAGGAGCTGTCATTCATGGTGAACATCATGAGCATGGAGTCAGGAGGCGGTGAGTTTTTGTTTCAGCGGGTTCATTGATTGAGGATCTGGGTCATTGAACTATATAATTAACATTGGGTTTACATTGTGGGGATTTTTTTAAAGGAGCCATCCAGATTCCAAAAAGCTCCTAGTCTGCAGACTCCCACAACCACCAGGTCAGGGTTGCAGGGAAGAGGCCCTTGTCATCATCAATGCTGGTAAAGGTGCTTTGCCAGGTGAGTCGTTCCTGGCAAGGTACCCACCCCATGTAGAAGACGTGCTTTAGTATGGTTTAGGAGGGGGTTCACAAGCTCTCCCCTCCTTTCCTGGTCAGCTAGTCTGCATGCTCGAATAAGGGTCTGGTATGGATTTTAGGGGGGGGATTTTTTCTTTTTTGTACCAGTTACTACAGTTGCTGGCCCTTTGATAGCAGTCAAGCAGATTGTAATGACCAGTCACTGTCTATTGTTAAAGAATAATAGGTCTTCCTTTTTCTCTAAAAAGATTCTATTATATATGAGCAGTAACAGGTGTTTAAACCCTACAGCTTGAGGAAGGGCCCCACATACACCAGTGGCACTCCACCATGGGAAGTTTCCCCCTTTTTTTTCAGTCTTGATGTTTCAAATGCTCAAGCCACTTTTTTGCCACAAGAGAACGCTTACCTTAATAATGGAAAGTCTCCACTACCTTCCTGTTCGCCTTTACCCTTCTAATTTTGCAGGTGCGTTTTACACATCTGTTCTGTCCATGCAGAGTGAAAAGTTTGGGGCTGCTTAGCAAACTGATGCATCACTCAATCAACTATTCCCTTTCTCCTCATCAAAGGATCAAACATCAAACCAAAGCAAATGTGTATAACAGTCTACACTGTGCTATCAGAAAGACATCCACATCAAGACAGCAACTTCTTTATCGTCTTTGGACTTCCAGACAAAATATCTGTGAGAAAATTCAGAAAAAGCACATACATCCGTGCTAATTATCCAGCAAATGCAGAGTTTTTTGCAAAATTGGCCCAGCATGTCGGTTCAGCCTGTTCTCAGTTCCAAATATTAATCAGCAAAATATTCATTACAGACAGGGCCCTCACTGGGAGAGACTCCGATGCCAACAGAGATTAAAGACAAAGGAAAATGGCATGGCATGAGTAAAAAGCAAATGTTAAAGTCTAGAATGTAACTCGTTGGCATTTAGATTTCTAAAGCAATGTTATCCACTTATAGTTAAGACACTTTCTGTTTGCAAGTAACAATCTTTTTTTTGCTAGAAAATCTCTTAGAACCGCCAAAATTATACTTTTTTTTTAAAGCAGAATAACTATGTGTCACAAATTCCACATAGATCAGTGCAGGGGCGGACTGACAACTCATGGGGCCCCCGGGCAATAGGGATCATGGGGCCCCTGTGTCCTTGCCCAAACTCAAAAAAGCCTATGAAAAAGGTACCAGGGGCATCTCATGGGGCCCCCTACTGACCCCAGGCCCTCGGGCAGTGCCCGAGTTTCCAAATGGTCAGTCCACCCCTGAATCAGTGTATCAACAGTGATACATTAAACAGTACAATAACCATATAGACCAGTTAATCAATAGTGCTATAGCAAATATGTGTCCAATCAGTAAGGTGTAAGCAGGACAGGGCCATAGAAGGTCCTTAACCCATCAGCAGGATCGGTATCTGCTCTTTGTTCAAGGAGGAACAGGATGAGCACTGCCAGAGCCCTACAAAATGACCTCCAGCAGGCCACTGGTGTGAATGTCTCTGACCGAACAATTGGAAACAGACTTCATGAGGGTGGCCTGAGGGCCCGACGTCCTCCAGTGGGCCCTGTGCTCACTGCCCGGCACCATAGAGCTCGATTGGCATTTGCCATTGAACAAAAGAATTGGCTCCCTGTGCTTTTCACAGATGAGAGCAGGTTGACCCAGAGTACATGTGACAGATGTGAAAGGATCTGGAGAAGCCGTGGAGAACGTTCTGCTGCCTGTAACATCATTCAGCATGACCGTTTTGGTGGTGGGTCAGTGATGGTCTGGGGAGGCATATCCATGGAGGGACGCACAGACCTCTACAGGCTAGACAATGGCACCCTGACCGCCATTAGGTATCGGAATGAAATCCTTGGACCCATTGTCAGACCCTACACTATTGCAATGGGTCCTGGGTTCCTTCTTGTGTACGACAATGCCCATCCCCATGTGGCGAGAGTATGCAGACAATTCCTGGATGATGAAGGAATTGATACCATTGAATGGCCCCCACACTTGCCTGGTCTAAATCCAAAAGAATACCTCTGGGATATCATGATTCGGTCACTCTGACGCCGCCAGGTTGTACCTCAGACTGTCCAGGAGCTCAGTGATGCCCTGGTCCAGATCTGGGAGGAAATACCCCAGGACACCCTCCATCGTTTTAATTAGGAGCCTCCCCCGACGTTGTAAGGCATGCATACAAGCATGTGGGGACCATACAAACTACTGAGGACCATTTTTAGTTTCTGCAATGAAATTTCAGCAAAATGGATTAGCCTGCTGCATCATTTTTTCACTTTGATTTTTGGGGTGTCTTTGAATTCAGTCCTCTGTAGGTTGATAATTTTCATTTCCATCAAACGATGGGGCATCCTTACATTCCTAACACATTACCCCGTCCATGTCAGGATAGAGATCCAGCAGGAGATTTGTCCCCATTGAGATCTAATGTGTTTTCAAAGTATTCCTTTAAATTTTATTAGTGTGTACAAAGGCATGTATTATAGTCAATGCTGTATGTCCCAGGTACTATCCTCAGCACTCAAGCTCCTGCCCACCAATCTGGTTTCCTGAGTGGAAAAGAGCTGACACCACAGAGCCCAGATAAAGGTAATAGTTATATAGTATTTTATTGTTAGTGTAGAATTTTATTGTTAAAATAGCCAATACATAGCATTCAAATATAACCGATATCAAACAAACATTCTTACTAAGACTTACTAAAATGGGCACTGATCCATGTTCCGGAAACTGCGGCGTGACGTCAGCATGTAAGGCCCTACGCAACACGTTTTGTGCACACACATATCTTCAGGGGATACGCCTACCCTAGAAGACGTGTTTGTGCACAAAACGCATTTCTGGAACTCGGATCGACGGCCGTTTTAGTAAGTCTGGACCGAATATTTGTTTGATATCGTCACATGGTTATATTTTAATGCTATGTATTGGCTATTTTGACAATAAAATACTACACCATATACAGTACTTTTATCTGTGCTCCGTGGTGTGAGCGCTTTTCCATTTGGGAAACCAGGAGTTTGAATGCTGAGGAGAGTACTTGGGACCAGGGGTAGACTGACAACTCATGGGGCCCCCTGACAATAGGGGATTATGGGGCCCCTGTGTCCTTGCCCAAACTCAAAAAAGCCTATGAAAAAGGTACCAGGGGCATCTCATGGGGCCCCCTACTGACCCTAGGCCCCCGGGCAGTGCCCGAGTTTCCAAATGGTCAGTCCACCCCTGCTTGGGACATATAGCATTGGCTATATTACATGCTTTTGTATTTTTGCCCTCTGGAGAGTGAATAAAGGTGGATTGCACACTGCTGGTGACAAGGTGGAGACGTTTTTTTTTTCTTGCACTTGGGACTTTTTTGTACATCTCATCTGCAAAAGATTTTTTCATGTGGATATACACCTTACTGATTGGACACATACACTCACTGGACACTTTATTAGGTACACCTGTTCAATTATTTATTTATTTCAGGTACTTATATAGCGCTGTCAATTTATGCAGCACTTTACATATATATTGTACATTCACATCAACCCCTAACCCTCAAGGGGCGTAAAATCTAAGGTCCTTAACTCACATTCATACATATACACACTAGGGACAATTTAGACAGGATCCAATTCACCTGACAGCATGTCTTTGGAGTGTGGGAGGAAACCGGAGTACCCGGAGGAAACCCACGCAGGCACAGGGAGAACATGCAAACTCCAGGCAGGTGGTGCCATGGTTGGGATTCGAACCAACGACCCTAGTACTACCAGGCTGAAGTGCTATCTGTTCAATTGCTTGGTAACACAAATTGCTAAATGGCCAATCACATGGCAGTAACTCAGTCCATTTAGGCATCTAGACATGGTGAAGACGACTTGCTGAAGTTCAAACCGAGCATCAGAATGGGGAAGAAAGGAGATTTAAGTGACTTTGCACATGGCGTGGTTGTTGGTGCCAGACGGGCTGGTCTGAGTCTTTCAAAAATTGGCGATCTACTGGGATTTTCATGCACACTGGGATTTGAAATCCCTGTTGATTTCTTCCCTCTCCTTGTAGGGATGACAGTTTGGGCTAGAGGACTTTTGATTGGTCAGCAGCACCTCACCTGGTGCATTAAAAAATGCATATATGGGGGACAAAACATTGGGGGATGGGGCTAATAATAGGTATTTTGATAGGTGGCTGGCAGTGGCATCCCTAGGGGGGTGCGGCCCGCCCCGGGTGACACCATCACAGGGGGTGCAGGAGCAGGATGCCAGCAGAGCTTCTGGGCTCTATGAAGGTCCTGGCCAGTTATTGGGGAGATTCCCGTAACAGTGACAGCTGCCCCCGGTGTAGTAGTAAAAATAAGTATCCCGGACCCGTGAAGATATGTATCCCCTGAAGCAACTGCGCATGTGCCGATTTCAGGCCGAAGAAGCCGATCTCCGACTTTAGCACATAGTTGCCACAGTTAACCCCTTACAGGCCGCAAACCACTGAAGCTGATCCCACGGATCACTATGGGTTGTATGATCAGTTAACTCCGTATAGGTTCAACCGCTCCTTCCTCTCTGGAGGGGTGACACCACGTGTTACCGCACCGGGTGACACCAACCCTAGGGGCGCCTCTGGTGGTTGGGGAAATATTTAAAGAACATTTTCATGAAAAGTGAAGTTATCCTTTAAAATACATAAACAGCATTATTAAAACAATAAGTATGAACCTGCAATAGCTCCCAGAAACAGCTGTCAGCAAAGACATGTCCTGTCAATGTTCACAAGATGTAAAAAGTCAGACCAGACTAAAAGAATATCAGCAACCCGGGGCGGACTGACAACTCATGGGGCCCCCAGGCAATAGGGGATTATGGGGCCCCGTGTCCTCGCCCACACCCAAAAAAGCCTATGAAAAAGCCAATGAAATGTACCAGGGGCATCTCATGGGGCCCCCTACTGACCCCGGGGCCTCGGGCAGTGCTCGAGTGCTCGAATGGTCAGTCCGCCCCTGTCAGCAACCTTCTTGTTGGGCCATTCTCTCCAAAACTTGCCCTGAAACATTTAAAGAAAAATTGCAGCCTAAACCTAACTACTCTTAAAAATGTCTTCTCCCCCCTCTTAACACCTCTGTTTACTAACCTGTTTAAGTCAACCCATTCTGTTCTGGTAACATGATCCCCTGCATCAGTCAGCACCAGCTGCAGGGGAGAGAGTGCTCAGCAACGGCTGGGAAAGCTGGGAGCTGTGACGTCACGTATAGGTTGCCATGTCCCGACCATTGTTGGTGCTCCCTCTTCTCCCCTGCAGCCACCAGTGGTTGACAAAGGTGAGACAGACCATCTAAATGTAGCAGAGCGGCGTGAAAATAGTTGAGTATAAGACTTTCTTACACAGGTTAGCGAGAATAGGTATTGGGAGGAGGGAGGGGACATTTTTTGGACTACTTAGATTTAGGCTGGAATTCTACTTTAATAAAAATATAAATACACTGCAGTAAAGACATATTTTTCCCTTGTATAAGGCAGACATCAATATGATCGAGAATGATAGAAGAACATTTTTTATTTTTTTTTAACTTGAAACAGTCACGAGAAAACTGAAAATTTTCCCATTCTCTGTATGCCGCTCCGGGGTAAATTCTCTTCTCCAATCTCGGGCGCTTTTATCTGCTTCATTTATACTTAATGTCACAGCATGACGATAACATTCCTAACTCCACTCCTAGCTGTTAACGGGAAAGAAAAGTGAAAAAGCATCTCAGACGTCGGTATCATGTATTCATGGGATCCAAGATTAAAAAAGAACGGCAAAGGGATTCTGTCACCAGAGAATTACTTCATTTTCTGCTTACAATAAACTTGTTGTTGGAGATCCTTGAACCTCATTGACATTGAAAATAACAATATTGTAGTGCTTTTCTATCTATCTATCTATCTATCTATTCTATCTATCTATCTATTCTATCTATCAAATCTATCTATCAAATCTATCTATCTATCTATCTATCTATCTATCTATCTATCTATCTATCTATCTATTCTATCTATCAAATCTATCTATCTATCTATCTATCTATCTATCTATCTATCTATCTATGTATCTATCTACCTATGTATCTATCTATCTCATATCTATCTATCTCATCTATCTATCTATCTATCTATTCATCTATTCTATCTATCAAATCTATCTATCAAATCTATCTATCTATCTATCTATTATCTATCTATCTATTCTATCTATCAAATCTATCTATCTATCTATCTATTCTATCTATCAAATCTA